TCACCGCCCTCGCTGTGTGTGCGCTGCTCTCTCCTCCAGAAGCCAAGGAGACACCGCACCACCCGCCGGGCTGCTGTCCCCTGCTCTCTCGGAGCTCCGCCTCCTGACATGCAAGCAGCCGCATCCACCTGCTGAGCGCCGCTGAGCGGGGTGAGCAGCGCTGGACGGAACCGCCATTCACAGCATGAGCGCTGCTCTAACACGCGCCCTCCGCACAGGGCCCGACACGTCCGGGGCACACGGTAGATGGCATTAGACAGCGCCAGCTTCCAGCTCTTCCAGTTTCCTTTTGTCCTAAAATAAGTAGATAAACAATCCCAAGCTCCTGCGCTGGCCGAGGCCCTGCACACCCTGCCCACTGCCTCCTCCAATCTCACCTCTTCTCCTTCCCCTCTTCCACTGCTACCCTCCCGCCCACTGGCCCGTCTCCTAAATGTCTCCTCAGACATGTCGGTCTCTTGCCCCCAGCAGGGCTCTGCGTGTGCTGTCCCCTCGTGTGGAGCGGCCTCTCCCCACTCCTGGCATGACCGGCCCTTTCTCCCAGCAGAGACCTCAGGTTCCGCGTGGGTTCTGTGATCACCTGGTCTCAGGTGGGCCCCAGTTTCCAGGACGGCAGAGACGATGCTTCTGTTGCTCATCTCTCAGTACCGGCATCTAGCACGGGACCCACAGTTGGTAATCAATACGTATTTTATTGAATGAATGAATGATCAGCTCAGTAAATATTTGTTTTCTCCTCCCTTCTGCATGGAGTTCTTTCCTGGGTGTTTTGCAAATGCAGATGGCATCTCCCCTGAGAATGCAGGCAGGGAAGGCGTTAGATTCCTTTGTTTCCAGCCCAGGGTGCAGTACGGCACAGCGTCTGTACACAACACTCAGAAAAGGGTTGATGGATGAATGCGCGAATCACTGAATGAACGTGCAGCTGGGCACTTCCCCAAAACTTGCTGGGCGGCACTGAACTACGAAGACCTGCGTGTGAGCGGAAGTGCCACCTCCCGTGACAGCGACCATGTGTTCTGCGTTTGTCGGTGGGCCTTTCCTATGCTTGGCCCCCACACGGCCGTCACCCACCCGCCCGCTAATGGGATCATAAAGGCACAGGGACGGGGTCCTGGGCTTTCTCAGAGTCGTCAGCTCAAAGCCCCTTTCATGTGCGGGGTGTGGAGAGAAGAGGAAAGGTGATGGATGGCCCCGTACAAGGAGCGCAGATACCTGGCCTTGTTCTTATCTCGGGCACTCAGAAGGCGTCGGCAGCCGGCGCACTGAGTCACGGGGAACTGAGAGCCGCAAGAATGTCCCCTGATAAAGGCCTGCTGGCCACATGAATGAGGGCGGCTGTGGCTGATTACCTTCTAAGTGAGCAGGGTCAGAGGTGGCTGCTCGCCGCGGCTCGTGGGGGAGGTATTCTCTGTGACCTGGCAGGAATCATTGCCGAGGGCAGCCTGGGCCAGCCGGTTCACACGGCTAATGAGGACAGGGTCACGGGTCCGAGCCCTCCGGAGGCTAGTTATCTGCAGGCCGCGGGAAGATCTGCTTCCCAGCCGTGGTCCGTGTGCTAGCGCTGGGCAACCATCGTGCAAGCCCGTGCCTTTGTCCAGGGGACGGCTTAGGGGAGACCCTTCATCAGAGGAAAGCGGGTTCCTGTTTACGTCTGCCCGGGACATCGGGCACAATGACCAACACATGCTGAGGAGTCACCGTGGGCCAGGCTCTGTGTTGAGTTCCTCTGTGGTGTTTCTCGCTGAACCCTCACAGGAGGGTGTCATCGTCCCCCTTCCCACATCAGAAAGCCAAAGCTTCGCCCTAGCCGGTTTGGCTCAGTGGATAGCATCAGCCTGCAGACTGAAGGGTCTCGGGTTTAATTCCAGTCAAGGGCACATGTCGGGTTGTGGGCTCGATCCCCAGTGTGGGGTGTGCAGGAGGCAGCCGATCAATGATTCCCTCTCATCATTGCTGTTTCTCTCTCTCTCTCTCTCTCTCTCTCTCTCTCTCTCTCTCTCTCCCTCTCCCTCTGAAACCAATAATATATATTTTTAAAGAGAGAGAGAGAGACTGCACCTGGAAAAGCACCTGTCAGGTCAGGTGAGATTCCTCCATTCTGGCAAAGTGTGGACCAGGCGACCTTGACCAGACCTTCCCATCTGCAAGCCCGGATTGCCCCGGCCCCCTCCTTCCCTCACACTCCCCGCCCCTCCTGTGTCATCAGGGGGCTCCCAGGCTGCTCCCATGATAACACTAGAGCCCCCAAAGCTCCGGAATCTGGACCAGGCAGAGACGTCTCTGATGGCAACCGCCCTATGAAGTCAACACTCATCCTGAGACGCACAGGCCCACAGGCGCATCTGTTTTGGGGGGAGCTGCTGGCTGGGGAACCAGAGTCTCTCAGGAACAGCGATGGGGCATCCCAGCGTCAATGGGGCTCTGTGGTGGCGGGAGGAGAGGACGCCCTGGCTCAGGAATGCGCCCTCCGAGCCGGAGCCAGCTGCCCTATACCACGAGGAAAGCGCAGACACTGCACTGCGGTGGGTTCTTAAAGCGCATTCTGTGCACTGAGGGGCCTTGGAGATGTGGAGAGCGCACCCCCCAGGCCATTAAATGCCCAGACAGCCCGGGCCAGAGACAAGAACCAGCAGCCAATGCGCTCAGGGCGGGGCAGAGCGTCTCAAACAAACCAACCTGCGGTGGAGGCGTTTCCCAGCCGGTAAATACCATCTTTCAGGGGCTTCCCAAGGAGACCCAGCCGCCCCCAACCGCCCCCAGCCGCCCCCACGGCCATAAAAGGGCTGCACTGTCTCCAAGGAGCGAGCAGCCAGACACAGGCCTGACCCCGACCCGCAGCCACCCCTTAATTTAGGGCCCTAATCGGTGGAGCCTGATCTGTGGGCGCTGCCGGGGGTTTACTCTGGGAAGAGCCCACAGGCCCCTGAGTGAAGTGGCAGCTGTGGGTGGGAAAGGCCGGCTCTCACCGATGCTAAGTGGGACGCTCTGAACAGACGGTGTGTTGGCAGGAGGCGGTTCGGGCTCCCATTAGGCTGAGGAAACCCCGGATGCCCCCAGGGAGACGGCCTGCAGCGGCCAGCGGGCTCTGGCCTCGGTCTCCCATGCCCTTCCCCCCACACGTCTTTTCAGGGCGTCCTCTCACCCAGCTTTGGCCCCACCAGCACCTGCTCCTACGGACAGCTTGGTTCCAGCCCCTCCAGGAGCTGCTGGGGAAAGCGACCCGAGCCCCTGCGCCTCATCTGTCCATGACCACTGTGTCGCCAGAGGCAGCTCAGTGCCCGTCATAAAGCGGAGACTCCGGAAATCTTTGCTCAAAGAACAAAGAGTCAGAAACAGTCTGCAGTCATCCATCCATCCATCCATCCATCCATCCATCCATCCATCCCTCTATCCATCCATCCATCCTTCTATCCATCTATCCATCCATCCATCCATCCATCCATCCATCCATCCCTCTATCCATCCATCCTTCTATCCATCTATCCATCCGTCCATCCATCCATCCATTCATCCAATCAGCATTGCTCAGTGGGCATGGCTTGTTACAAAAACACTGACCCCAGCCCCACCCAAATTATAATGAATGAGTGGGAGGGATAGTTCTGAGTAGCTGCTGCCCCAAATTAAGGAAGGACTGCTAACTAGTAAGATAGAAAATAAATAGATGATAGGTAGATAAATGATTGGTAGATAGATAGATATGATAGATAGATGATAGACAGATAAATGATAGATACATACATACATAAATGGATAGATGTGATAGATAGACAGATAAATGATAGATAGATACATACATAATTATTTAAACAGGAACTATAAGAAATTATCTAAAAAGTGCTGTTAGAACTTGCATAATTAGTTCCAATTATTGAGGGAGGGAGGGAGCTGCCTGTAGAAGGAATGCAGGGCCTCGCTGTATCCAGGGAACGAGCAATCAGCAAGGACACAGCCTGAGAGGCCCAAGCACAGGGGGACGAAGGCCTCCGGTCCCACGTGGGGACTGTCTCAATGTCCTCTAGAAGCAAAGCCACCAGAGGAGACACTCACGCGAAGGCCAGCTGGGCACGATGCTCTGCAGTACCTTTCTGACTTGAGCTGTGTGGAGACCTCCTGCCTCTGCTCCCAGCACACCTGGGGCAAGTGGAGGCACACTCTCCTGCCCCCTGCTGGCCTGAAAACGCCAAGGAAGAAGGCCTGGCACAGCTTACCCACACTGCATTCACACACTCCCTTCCTCCCTAATTTTAGGAGACTGTCAGCATAGAGGCCCCCCACCTCCTCAGAAAGGGGAGAAGGTGGATCATGGCAGCAAATCCCTGTCTGGTTCCCTCTGTGACAACTAGGACTAGGAGGATTTGAAGCCATTTAAAGCCAATCTCAGATAACACAGGGCTAACTGGATTCAAATGCAAAGACCCCTGATGTTTAAAAAAAAACCAAACAACTAGTGATGTGTGCTCTACTGCAGGCTGTGAAGCAGGCAAGAAGAGCAGAGCCTAGAGTCCCTACCAGAGGGAGGGACATCCATAGACATGCTCCACTGCCTGAGAATTTCTAAAAATTGAGGAGTTCAACGTCCCAGACCAGAGACCCACTCCTCCCACCCCCTGGTTTTGGGGCTGCCCGTGGGACCACAGCAGGGACACCCAGGCTTCCAACGTGTCCCTCACTGTTGTCTCGGTTCAGTTCACTCGAGAACAGCTTATTGAGTATCACCTACATGTTAGACCTGGGTAGGTTATTTGTAGACATTATTTAATTTGATCCAATAACAACCCAATAAAGGGAGAAAAAGGAAGCGGGGTGGATGAAGTTGTCTGGCAGAGGTCGCCCAGCGGTGACCTCAGACTCCGGCCCAGACCTGTGCAGCCACAAGTCTTCCTGAGGACGGGCTCCGTTCTCCAAGAAGACAGCAAAGCCCCACATTTTTGTTACCAGGAAACCCCTGGTGGGGCTCAGGCTGCCTGTCACTGTGTCCAATAACGAAGGCAGGGTCGAATCATAGAAGACATTTATTGAGGCCAGCCAACCAAGAAGAGAGGGTGCTTACAAGCATTCAATGGGGGACAGGGTTATACAGGGGAAGGGGCTGGGGTGAGGCTGGGGATGCAATGCAGCTATGTGCAGCTCTGGAGGTCCCCAGACGTAAGCTATTGTCATCAGGTAATGAAATGATGTTGATAAGATGATGTTTTGACTCCTGGTGGGTGGGTCTGACCATGCTTATTGGGTCTGCTTGCTGGGTTCACAGCTGAGTCACCTCCTCCATCACTTCCCACAGGCCTTGGAAAGGAAACTTAGGAACAACTTAACCCCCTATTCACATAAGTACTAGTATATGTGTTCTAAGATTTAAAATGATATGATTATTTTTCAGATTAATGCAGGTGCTCTATCTATCAGATTATAAGTCCCCCTACCATTTGCACCAGCCCTGCTTTCCAATGGGATGACCAAGGTTGCAATATTTTGAACAGTTCCTGTGCTTGGCTTAATTCATTTAGAAACTATATACCCTGCTTACTGAGCGACATTCAAGCTCTTCACAGCTTCTGCCTGGGCTCAGCATGAGACAACAGGTTTCCCACAGAATCCATAGTAATCCCGGCAGAAGGGCTGGCGTTTCTGGAGACACTGGAAACAGCTCTAAGTTCCCCATAACTCACTCTTACCTCCCAGAGCTCTTTATGGGGATTATTCAATACAACCAATGCAGTGTTTAAAAGGAAGGTTCAGAGGCTATAAAAAGAAGCCAGTGTTGACCCCCTCTGCCCCACCCATTTCTCCCAGCCTATTCCACGTTAAATGCAGCAGGGAGGCATCAAAGGAGAAGGGAAAAGGGGGGGGAGGGAGGTGGGAGAGCAGAGCAGAGAGAGGGGTCTGCCTTTACTCTGAAGTCCCAAAGCAAATCAAGGAAAGTGTCTGCCATCACAAGCTTCCTTCTGTGTGTCAATGCTGCCCCCTTCTGGTGTAAATTATAAATTCATTAGAAAATAGCGCCAATCATGGTCATTCAATAGGAGAAGCACAAGGATGTGATCCTATGAGTTTACATATATATATCCCCCAGGTAGTCCTGGGATCTATTTCAACCAGAATTAAATATATCTACTTTTCAAGCTCCTACCTTTTAAGATATACCACTGATCTTTTAAAATATACCACTGAGTGCCTGGGCAATTAGAGAAACTCCTTCAATGTTCTCCCTACATCCACGTGGGCCCCCACCTTCCAACCCATCCCCCCACTCAGCAGCCAGAGTCGCCTGTGGTTTGTGACAACATGGACCAACCTTGAAGGTCTTGTGCTAAGCGAAATAAATCAAAGACAAAGACTTATCCCTTATTTGTGGAATAGATACAGACTCAGATACAGAGAACAGCTTGGGGGTGTTTACATCAAACGACAGGAGGGGGACTGACTAGTCTGAATGGACAGACCCCTTGGCCTGCCCCCCCAGGTGGTCTCGGACCTCAGCCAGCTGGCTCAGCACGGAGAGGGCCCCATAGAGGGCAGACAGGGGCTCCTTGGCTTCCGGGTCCCAGGTTGACCTGGGGCTGTTCAGCTCCATCTCCAGGCCACACTCATCCAGCAGCCCATAGGTAATGGCCAAGCCCTCCCCCTGGAGTGGGGCGAGGAGCTCGGGCTGGAGGGTAAAGGGAGTGTTCTCAGAGCAGTTGAAGTTGGGCTCCAGGATGCTCCCCACCTTGAAGAAACAGTATCAGATGTTACAGGCCAGCCTCTGAGGTCAAGAAGAGAGAACCTTCAGTCCCAAGGGCCAGGGGTAATGCAGGGTGACTGTGGGGGCAGGAGCTCTGGGGTTGCGACCTGTTCCTATATTGTGGTCAGTGTGACCACGGACACGTTGTTGGAAATCACTGAGCACTGGCTCCGCAGCTGATAAATAGGGACACTGACACTTACTCAGCAGAATAGTGGGGTTTGGAATTGTGTGTGTATGCCTGCGTGTGCAATGTGTGTATGTACGTGTCTACACACACATATGTACTTACATATATATGCATGCAGAGACAGAGCATCCAATTTGCAAATGGTACCCTTGTGAGTACAGCAGGGGTATAACTCAGATACCCTGAGCTCCCCAAACCTGTATTCCTAGACGGCTATTTTAGAACTGGGGGGGGGGGGTCTCTGCAGGGTTGCCATGGAAACTGAGACCTTCCCCAGGTAGACTCATGCCCACTGGGCCTGTTTCCCAGACGGAGATGCAGCCTGGATTTCCCAGGCCCACACCGAGACCTCCCCTCCCCTCCCAGCAGCAACCCCAGTCATCTCTCCTTTCTCAGAACCATTCTTATCCTGCTTCCCTCACTCTTTTCCAAGACGCCGGCCCCTGGGGATTGCTCACCAGGTCCCTCTGCAGGAGGAGGATCCTCTTCTCCATGGACTGAGCCAGCAGGACATGTTGGATGTCACTCAGCACTGGGGACAGGGGGACATTTGGGGAAAGAGTCAGATGTTCCTGTCCCCACGGTGAACTCAGAGACCTTTAGAAGTGAACTCTGAGGCAGAGGAATAAAACTCGCTGGCGTGAAGGTCAAGTTCCCTGCCCTGGAAAGTCCCCCTTCTGCTCGTGCTTGTGGGATGGTCTCCAGGAAGCTCCTAACATGGTCCTGGGTGGGTTTCTATGGCTGGACCTGGCATCACCGCCCCACTGATCCGCTGCATGAACCTGGCTGGCCTTGCAGACCTCAGGCTCTGTCACAGGGCAAGTTCATCACACTGAGCCCTACTGACCTCGGAGAGGCCTGTGATGTGAGGGTGAAAAATCATAACATGTCAAGGGGTTTGGAGAGGTGACACCTAAGGTAACCCTTTCGGGGCTCTGGGGGACCAACCTTGTGACTCCCCCATTCTTCCTCCAAACCACTCTTACCCATTAAGGCTTCAAGCAGGTAAAGGATGAGGCACTTTGAGCCAACCTCTGGATGGCAGGAGTCCTTTTGCAGTTCAGTTAGGATGGTGCCACCAGGGCCATCCAAATGACCAAAGGGTTCCTGTTCAAGCTATAGGAGACAGGGCTTATTAATGATGGTGATAATAACATCAGTGATTTCGCCTGTAAATTCTGCATCTACAAGTGATTAACCAAGGAGTGGGGGTAATGGCTCCATGCACCCCCAGGGAACATGGAGCACCCCCAGTCTGTGAGGGCTGCCTTCCTGGCCCTGGTTGTTGGACACAGGACATAGTCCCCAACCTCAGACATCCTTCTCATCCCACTAAGATTACCCCCATTTTCCTTTCCCCACACACCTTGGCTGTGCCCCTGAAACATCCCCCATTTACAAGTCGGATCAGCCTTAGGAAGTAGCGGGGCCCCTCACCTTGTCCATGAGGTCCTGAAGTGGCTTGCAGTCCTGAAGATCCTCACGGTCCTTAAGCATGGCCAGGAGGTTGGAGAACACAACACCCTGCATGTCCTTTGAGAGCTCGGCCGCTTTTATGTTCTGGGAAACCTCCTCTTGTAGCAGCCTGAAATCTGCCCATGGGGGCTTCCAGATTAGCTTTGGTAACGGATATGGACCAATGAACCAAGAGGTCACAGTTTGACTCCCGGTCAGGGGTCAGGGCACATGCCCAGGTGTGGGCTCAATCCCCAGTGTGGGGTGTGCAGGAGGCAGCCAATCAATGGTTCTCTCTCATCATTGATGTTTTTCTCTCTCTTTCCCTCTCCCTTACTCTCTGAAATCAATAAAAAAAATTTTTTAAGGGAAAAAAAGGAAAGAAATCTGCCCTCGGGCATTAATGCCAAACAGAAAACAGAATTCTCAGATCAGACCATTCCTCTCCTTCCAACACGAGCAAAATTGCTCTTCCCTTCAAGCTGCTGACCCAGAGCATCTCTGAAGATGGCATGGTTGAGCTCTGGGTTGGAATTGCCACAACAGGCTAGAAAAATGGAAAGTCTCTGCTGAGATGAGGTGGGGGTACATGCAGGGACGAAAGGAGAGGATCTGGGAAAGGGTCACGGGAAGAGGAAGAAACTGACCAGGTGCTCACTTCTGACACGTGGGAAATAATGTGGGTTCTAGACTGGTCTCCAGAGATGAAAATGTCAGAGGTTCCAGCATTGGACCTCAAAATGAGGGTGTCATGACAACTATCTGAATACGTATATACAGTGTTTGGTAATACATGCAGATGTGCCTGTATCTTCAGGGTCTATAAGGAATTAACCAAGGAGTGGATGTTGGGGGCTGCCTGCTTCTGCCAGGAAACCTGAGGTGGACTCAAGGTGGCCCTAGTGAGAGTGAGAAGTCACTAGAATGGAAGTGCCAGGGAGGCAGGCATTTCTATTTGGTTCACTGTCCTATCCCAGTGCTCAGAAAATGCCTCCTGCCCAATGAGTCTTTAATAAATGCTTCCTGCATGCATTAACGAATGAATGAATGAATGAATGAATGAATGAATGAAAAGTAGCCATGACCAAACTGTAAGTCTGGAATTAAAGCTCAGTTTTCTGAGTAGTTTGGAAACCTCCAATTTGGGTTCTGAGCTCTGCCTTTTCCTACCCAGCAGCCTCAGGTTCCCTCTTAGTGAACACCCAGCCCAAGGGGTGCCTGCACCCTTCCTAGGAAGAGAATGGCAAGTGGTCATCTCCCTCTCTCACCCCCCAAATTTGCTTGAGAGACACTTCCTAGCTTCCACCCTCTACTGCTACCACCCTCTTGCTTAACCTCTTTGTGCTCCATCTCAGTCCATCCCTCCACATTCTTGACCCTTCCTGGCCCTTCGATCCCACAGAAACTATGACCTGTCCCTGAGGCCATTGTGACAAAGGCAGGGGCACTCTGCCCTGCTCACCAGATGAGTACAATGAGGATCCTCCCCAACCCCAGCAAACACACACTCATCTCTTCAGAGGCAGGAATGTTCTTTACTGCCTAGAGAGAAATCAAATTAACACCTAAAAATTAATCTCTGAAGACTCTGTCTACATTCTGCCCTCTACTCCCTGACCCCTCTTTTCCATCCACCCCTGCCCTTTGCCCAGGGAACCAGAGCCCAGTGGCTCAGATGAGGACAGCCAAGGCAATCATATGGGGTTTCAGTTGTAAAAAAGGGGGCCTCGTGGAGGGATCACATCCCACTTTATAGTCTCCTGTCCACTTAAGGACTGTGGCTGACATATGCCTGCTGTTGGAAAGAGGAACAGAAGTGGTCACTCACAACAGCTAGTCTCTGCTCCCCAAACACACACACTCCTACCCCAGTACTCAAAGGAGACAGGATCTCCCTGAGGCCAGGGGCCTGTGTAGGTCACAGCAGTGAGATGAGGAGGTGGTGAAGGAGCCTGGCTGGGGAAGGTTTCCCTGTGGGTTTGTCGGGGCTGAGATTAGACCATTCCTCTAGGGACAGGATGTAGATAAACTGGTGAGCAGGGTGTTTATGGGGTAAAGAGGGTCAAGGTACCCCTATGTTCATAGCAACACGATTTACCATAGCTAAGATTTGGAAATAGTGTAAGTGCCCATCAGCAGATGAGTGGATTAAGAAACTGTGGTACAGCTACACAATGGAATGCTATGCTGCAATAAATAAGAAGAAACTCTCACCATTTGCAACAGCATGGATGGACCAGGAGAGTATTTTGCTAAGTGAAATAGGCCAGTCAGAGAAAGATAAATATCACGTGATCTCACTCATTTGTAGAATATAATGAATAACATAAACTGATGAACAATAGAGCCAGAGACATAGAAGCATCAAACAGACTGCCGAACCTCAGAGGGAAGGCAGGGGAGGGTGGGGGTAAGAGATCAACCAAAGGACTTGTATGCATGTATATAAGCATAAGGCATGGACACAGACAGTAGGGGAGTGAGGGCATGTGCTGAGGGATGGGAACAGCCAGGGAGAGGTTAATGGGAGAAAAAGGAGACATATGTAATACTTTAAACAATAAAGTATTTAAATTTAAAAAGGGGAGGTCAAGGTCTAAGCATTATGGCCAACTTACCTGCTGAAAAGGTTTTCTGATCATCATCATCATCATCACCATCATCATCACCATCATCATCATCACCATCTGTAAAGTGAAGAATGCCTAGGTGGGAAGAAGCCAGGTCAGCAGAGCAGGGTATCCCTGCTGGAGCCCCTCACATTCCAGCACCTGCAGCCCCCACACTCCCTCCTCTGGGCCTGGTGTGCAGCTTTGCTCAGGGATCCTGGGGACACCTTGCATCAGAATCACCAGGGACGCTTGTGGAAACTCATTAGAGTCCCTGACTCACTCCATACTTTCTGCACCAGGCTCTCTAAAAAGGAAGCTAGAACCTGCAGTTTCCATAGGCACTGGGTGATGCTTATTCACTCTAGTCTCACATTGAAGAACTGCCTTATCAAAGGAAATAAAATCACCTTCTTCATACACTTTGTCTTCCTCTTCCAGTCGTATCTCTTCCCTACACATGTGGGTCCTTTCTACCCTACTCCTGGGTAGTTTCACAATTCACGTAGAGAAATTTTCAAAGTTCTGAAATTCCTAACAATCATGTTTACTAAGTACATGACAAGGGCCAGGAGCCCATGAAGGAAGGAGGCAGAGAAAAAGCAGTCCCATTATAGGAGACCCCAAGACCATGGTGAGGCAGTAGCCAGGGAGAAGAGAGTCCAAGGTAGGAATAATCAAGTGTGTGGTTGTTGATGATGATGTGAGTAAATTCCAGGGAAGACAGATTGCAGTGGGGCGAGGCATGGACAGTAGGTAGGGAGTGAGAAAGAGGAACAGAAATGGACACTCACAACAGCTTAGTCTCTGCTCCCCAAACACAGAAGATTCTTGAAGGAAGTTGGCAGTGAGTGGAAACTGGGTGGGAAGATGGGACACGCGTGAGTGAGGGGTTATGAGATGGCAGAGAACTGACCTTGTGGTCAGGTCAGGGGAAGGGTCGAGGTGAGCTGGAGAGAGGGAAGATAGATTTGGCTCAGCCACCTTATCAGACATTTATCTCCATCAGCTCTGGAGCTAAGGTCTCACTTCCATTTCATAGATAACATGGAGGACAGAGGAATTCTTATTTTCTCCAAAGCCACAAAGCAAGCAACTTATTGAACTGTTCTGTGTATTAGTTTACACTATGAGGTGTTAGGAGGGTGAAATTAGTTCATGGAAGTGAAATGCTCACTGCACTGGGCCATTCTTTGTAAAATTTCCTTCTAGTCACCCTTAGGCCTAAACTGTAGAAACAGAAAAGCTTTGTGCACCCCCTAGTGGGCAGGAAATGATTTGCAGACACTGCTGTGAGGTTAGCCTTTGGAATCTAACACCATTTAGTTCACACTTATCAACACCAAAAAACATAATTTTGGCGTTTGAGTTCAGCCACTGACCCTGCAAGACTAGAGAGTTCATACTCACTCCATCTACAGCCAGTGACAGGAGGTGACTGACTGCAGGACCCATCCTTCACCACATGTTGCAGTGAGGACGATAGTGAACAGTGAGTATGTACACGTGTGTGTGTGTGTGTGTGTGTGTGTGTGTGTGTGTGAGAGAGAGAGAGAGAGAGAGAGAGAGAGAAAGTTATATGTGGTGAGGGAATCCCCAATCTCCAAGTAGAAATATCAGGTTGACCTCTACCTGACACTCAACATTTGGGCACAAAGGGACCAAGAACCCTGAGTTAGTTGTTTCATGAATCCACAAATGAAGGAAATAACTAATTAATAAAGAAATAATGAATGAATGAATGAATGAAAACTGGGGCTAAGGAAAGTATAAATTTAAAAATAAAACTCGGTTTTCTGAGTTGTTGGAAACATCCAATTTAGGTTCTGAGACAGGGTCTTCCCTATCAGGCAGGCTTCAGGTTCCCTCTTAGTAAACACCTAGTCAGAAGGGTTCTGTATTCTTTATAGAAAAATTGGCCTTCTCCCTTTCTCATCTCGCCAAATTTGCTTTAGAGACACTTCCAAGAGTTCTGCCCTTTACTGCCACCCTCCTCTTGCTGAACCTCTTCCTGCTTTTGCCAGTCCATCCCTCCAACTTTCCAACCTTTCCTGACCATTCCCAAACCTTTCTTACCCTTGCCATCCCACAGACCTATGGCCAATACCCGGAGTCATGGTGGCAAAGGCAGGTCTAATCTACCTTGCTCCCAGATGAGTACAATGACCCTCCCCAAACCCAGCAAACACACACTCACTATTGGGAGGTTCTTCGATGCCTAGAGAGAAATCAAATGAAAACCCAAAAGTTAATCTTTGAAGACTCCCAGTCTATCTACATCCTGTCCCCTACTCCCGGACCTCTCTTTTCCATCCACCCCTGCCCTTGGCCCAAGGAACCAGAGCCCAGTGGCTCAGATGAGGATGGCAAAGGCAATCACATGGGGTTTCAGTTGTAAAAAAGGGGCCACGTGGTGGGTTCACATCCCACTTTATAGTCTCCTGTCCACTTAAGGACTGTGGCTGACGTATGCCTGCTGTTGGAAAGAGGTACAGAAATGGTCACTCACAACAGCTTAGTCTCTGCTCCCCAAATACACACTCAAAGGAGACAGGATCTCCCTGTGGACAGGGGCCTGTGTCACAGCAGTGACATGAGGAGGTGGTAGAGCAGCCTGGCTGGGTAAGGTTTCCCTGAGGGTCTGGGAATTTATGAGTCAACGAGGGTATTTATGGGTCAATGAGGGTCAAGGGCTCAGCAGGGCCTGAGTTCCAAGCAGAGAACCTGACCAACTCACCTGATGGACATGTAGCACATTGTAACTCGTCTTTGCTCCACTCATCTGGGTGGAAAAAGACAGGTCAGCAGAACAGGGTATCCCTGCTGGAGCCCCTCACATCCCAGCACCAGCAGCCCCACACTTCCTCCTCTGGGCCAGGTGTGCAGCTTTGCTCAGGGGTCCTGGGGACCCCTTGCATCAGAATCACCTGGGACACTTGTGGAAACTCATTAGAGTCCCTGACCTCACTCCATACCTTCTGCACCAGGCTCTCTAAAAGGGAAGCTAGAACCTGCAGTTTCCAAAGGCACCTGGGTGATGGTTACCCACTCTAGTCTCACATTGGAGAACTGCCTTGTCCACGGAAAGAAATCGCCTCTTTCCTGCCCTTTGCCTTCCTCTCCTGACTCTCCTCCCTCACACATCTACTCCTCCCCTGCCCTCCTCCTGGGTGGTTTCACATTTCACATAGAGAAATGTTCATAGTTCTGAAACTTGCCTAACAATCATATTGACGTGTTTGACAAGGGCCAGGAGTCCATGAAGGAAGGAGGCAGAGGAAAGCAGTCCCATTATAGGAGACCCCAAGACCATGGTGAGGCAGTTGCCAGGGAGAAGAGAGTCCAAGGCGGGAATAATCAAGTGTGGGGGTGTTGATGATGTGAGTAAATTCCCAGGAGGACAGACTGCAGTGGGGCGAGGCATGGACAGCAGGTAGGGAGTGAGCAGGGTGCAGAAGATTCTTTAAGGAAGTGGGCAGTGAGGGGACACTGGGTGGGAAGAGGGGACATGCCTGAGTGAGGGGTTATGAGATGACAGAGACCTGACCAAGGTTCCTGCACCCCCTTGAGGTCAGGTCAGGGGAAGGGTCGAGGTGAACTGGAGAGAGGGAAGATAGATTTGGCTCAGCCACCTTATCTGACATTTATCTCCATCAGCTCTGGAGCTAAGATCTCACTTTCATTTCATAGATAACATGGAGGACAGAGGAATTCTTATTTTCTCCAAAGCCACAAAGCAAGCAACTTATTGAACTGTTCTGTGTATTAGTTTACACTATGAGGTGTTAGGAGGGTGAAATTAGTTCATGGAAGTGCAATGCTCGCTGCACTGGGCCATTTACTCTTTCTAAAATTTCCTTCTAGTCACCCTTAGGCCTGAAATGTTGAAACAGACAAGCTTCGTGCACCCCCTAGTGGGCAGGAAATGCCTTGCAGACACTGCTGTGAGGTTAGCCTTTGAAATCTAACTCCATTTAGTTCACACTTGTCAACACCACAAAACATAATTTTGAAGTTTCAGTTCAGCCACTGACCCCACAAAATTGAAGAACTCATACTCATTCCATCTACAGCCAGTGACAGGAGGTCTCTGACAGTCGGACCCAACCTTCACCAGATATTACAGAGAGGACTCTATTGTGAACAGTGAGTGTGTACACGTGTGTGTGTGTGACCTCTACCTGACTTCAACATTTGGGTACAAAGGCACCAAGAACCCTGAGCTCATTGTTGCATGAATCCACGAATGAAGGAAATAACTAATTAATAAAGAAATAATGAATGAATGAATGAAAACTGGGGCTAAGGAAAGTAAAAAATTTAAAAATAAAACTCGGTTTTCTGAGTTGCTGGAAACCTCCTATTTGGGTTCTGAGACTGGGTCTTCCCTACCCACTATGATTCAGGTTCCCTCTTAGTAAACACCTAGTGAGATGGGTTCCTGTATTCTTTATAGAATAAGTGGCCTTCTTCCTTTCTGGTCTGCCAAATTTGCTTTAGAGACACTTCCAAGGGTTCTGCCCTCTTCTGCCACCCTCCTCTTGCTGAACCTCTTCCTGCTTTTGCCAGTCCATCCCTCCAACTTTCCAACCTTTCCTGACCATTCCCAAACCTTTCTTACCCTTGCCATCCCACAGACCTATGGCCAATCCCCGTGGGCATGGTGGCAAAGGCTGGTCTAATGTACTCTGCTCACCAGATGAGTACAATGACCCTCCCCAACCCCAGCAAACACACACTCACCATTGGAAGTTTCTTCGGTGCCTAGAGAGAAATCAAATGAACACCTAAAAGTTAATCTCTGAAGACTCCCAGTCTATCTACATCCTGTCCCCTACTCCCTGACCTCTCTTTTCCATCCATCCCTGCCCTTTGCCCAGGGAACCAGAGCCCAGTGGCTCAGATGAGGATGGCAAAGGCAATCACATGGGGTTTCAGTTGCAAAAAAGGGGCCACGTGGTGGGTTCACATCCCACTTTATAGTCTCCTGTCTACTTAAGGACTGTGGCTGACGTATGCCTGCTGTTGGAAAGAGGAACAGAAATGGTCACTCACAACAGCTTAGTCTCTGCTCCCCAAATACACACTCAAAGGAGACAGGATCTCCCTGTGGACAGGGGCCTGTGTCACAGCAGTGACATGAGGAGGTGGTAGAGCAGCCTGGCTGGGTAAGGTTTCCCTGAGGGTCTGGGAATTTATGAGTCAACGAGGGTATTTATGGGTCAATGAGGGTCAAGGGCTCAGCAGGGCCTGAGTTCCAAGCAGAGAACCTGACCAACTCACCTGATGGACATGTAGCACATTGTAACTCGTCTTTGCTCCACTCATCTGGGTGGAAAAAGACAGGTCAGCAGAACAGGGTATCCCTGCTGGAGCCCCTCACATCCCAGCACCAGCAGCCCCACACTTCCTCCTCTGGGCCAGGTGTGCAGCTTTGCTCAGGGGTCCTGGGGACCCCTTGCATCAGAATCACCTGGGACACTTGTGGAAACTCATTAGAGTCCCTGACCTCACTCCATACCTTCTGCAACAGGCTCTCTAAAAGGGAAGCTAGAACCTGCAGTTTCCAAAGGCACCTGGGTGATGGTTACCCACTCTAGTCTCACATTGGAGAACTGCCTTGTACACGGAAAGAAATTGCCTCTTTCCTGCCCTTTCCTTCCTCTCCTGACTCTCCTCCCTCACACATCTACTTCCTTCCTGCCCTCCTCCTGGGTGGTTTCACATTTCACATAGAGAAATGTTCATAGTTCTGAAACTTGCCTAACAATCATATTGACGTGTTTGACAAGGGCCAGGAGTCCATGAAGGAAGGAGACAGAGAAAAAGCAGTCCCATTATAGGAGACCCCAAGACCATGGTGACGCAGTAGCCAGGGAGAAGAGAGTCCAAGGTGGGAATAATCAAGTGTGGGGGTGCTGATGATGATGTGAGTAAATTCCCAGGAGGACAGACTGCAGTGGGGCGAGGCATGGACAGCAGGTAGGGAGTGAGCAGGGTGCAGAAGATTCTTTAAGGAAGTGGGCAGTGAGGGGACACTGGGTGGGAAGAGGGGACATGCCTGAGTGAGGGGTTATGAGATGACAGAGACCTGACCAAGGTTCCTGCACCCTTTTGTGGTCAGGTCAGGGGAAGGGTCCAGGTGAGCTGGAGGGAGGGAAGATAGATTTGGCTCAGCCACCTTATCAGACATTTATCTCCATCAGCTCTGGAGCTAAGATCTCACTTCCATTTCATAGATAACATGGAGGACAGAGGAATTCTTATTTTCTCCAAAGCCACAAAGCAAGCAACTTATTGAACTGTTCTGTGTATTAGTTTACACTATGAGGTGTTAGGAGGGTGAAATTAGTTCATGGAAGTGCAATGCTCGCTGCACTGGGCCATTTACTCTTTCTAAAATTTCCTTCTAGTCACCCTTAGGCCTGAAATGTTGAAACAGACAAGCTTCGTGCACCCCCTAGTGGGCAGGAAATGCCTTGCAGACACTGCTGTGAGGTTAGCCTTTGAAATCTAACTCCATTTAGTTCACACTTGTCAACACCACAAAACATAATTTTGAAGTTTCAGTTCAGCCACTGACCCCACAAAATTGAAGAACTCATACTCATTCCATCTACAGCCAGTGACAGGAGGTCTCTGACAGTCGGACCCAACCTTCACCAGATATTACAGAGAGGACTCTATTGTGAACAGTGAGTGTGTACACGTGTGTGTGTGTGACCTCTACCTGACTTCAACATTTGGGTACAAAGGCACCAAGAACCCTGAGCTCATTGTTGCATGAATCCACGAATGAAGGAAATAACTAATTAATAAAGAAATAATGAATGAATGAATGAAAACTGGGGCTAAGGAAAGTAAAAATTTTAAAAATAAAACTCGGGTTTTCTGAGTTGCTGGAACCTCCCAATTTGGGTTCTGAGACTGGGCTTCCCTACCACTATGATTCAGGTCCCTCTTAGTAAACTTTAGTGAGATGGGTTCCTGTATTCTTTATAAGAAAAAAGTGGCCTTCTTCCCTTTCTGGTCTGGCCAAATTTGTGCTTTAGAGACACTTCCAAGGGTTCTGCCCTCCACTGCCACCCTCCTCTTGCTGAACCTCTTCCTGCTTTTGCCAGTCCATCCCTCCAACTTTCCAACCTTTGCTGACCATTCCCAAACCTTTCTTACCCTTGCCATCCCACAGACCTATGGCCACTCCCTGGGGTCATGGTGGCAAAGGCAGGTCTAATCTACCTTGCTCACCAGATGAGTACAATGACCCTCCCTAATCCCAGGAAACACACACTCACTATTGGGAGGTTCTTCGATGCCTAGAGAGAAATCAAATGAACACCTAAAAGTTAATCTCTGAAGACTCTCAGTTTATCTACATTCTGTCCCCTACTCCATGACCCCTCTTTTCCATCCACCCCTGCCCTTTGCCCAGGGAACCAGAGCCCAGTGGCCCAGGTGAGGATGGCAAAGGCAATCACGTGGGATTCCCGTTGTAAAATGGGGCCTCGTGCAGGGATCACATCCCACTTTCCTGGCTCTACAGTCTCCTGTCCACTTAAGGATTGTGCTTGCTAATGGAAAGAAAAATAGGAGTGATCACTCACAAAGGCTTTTTCTCTGCTCCCCCTACCCACCCACCCCACCCCCCACATACACACACACACACACACACACACACTCCAACCCCCAGTACTTAAAGGAGACATGTGGTTCTCCCTGGTGTCAGGGGCCTGTGTCACAGCAGTGAAATGAGGAGGTGATGGAGAAACCTGGCTGGGGAAGGTTTCCCCATGGGTTTGTCAGGGCTGAGCCCCAGAAGGGTGTTTATGGGTGTCTAAAGGGGGTCAAGGACTCACTGGGACTGAGGTCTAAGCATTATTAAAAGGCCAACTCACCTGCTGGAAAGGTTTCCTGATCATTAGAATATCCGATGTGAAGAATTTCTGGGTGAGAAGAAGTCGGGTCAGCAGAGCAGGGTATCCTTCTAGTCACCCTTAGGCCTGAACTGTTGAAACAGACAAGCTTCGTGTACCCCCTAGTGGGCAGGAAATGACTTGCAGACACTGCTGTGAGGTTAGCCTTTGGAATCTAACTCCATTTAGTTCACACTTGTCAACACTTTCAAAACATAATTTTGAAGTTTCAGTTCAGTTACTGACCCCACAAAATTGAAGACTTCATATTCATTCCATCTACAGCCAGTGATAGGAAGTCTCTCACAGCAGAACCCACCTTCACCAGATGTTGCAGGGAGGACTCTATAGTGAACAGTGAATGTGTGTGTGTGAGTGTGTGTGTGTGTGTGTGTGTGAGAGAGAGAGAGAGAGAGAGAGAGAGAGAGAGAGAGAGAGAGATCCTATATAATAAAAGGATAATATACAAATTGACTGAACGGCACAACAACCGTTTGCTATGACGCGGACTGACCACCAGGGGACAAATGTTCAACTTAGGAGCTGCCCCTTGGTGGTCAGTGCACTCCCACAGGGGGAGCCCTGCTCACCCAGAAGCCCGGCTCACGGCTGGTGTGCACAGTGGGGGCAGCACTAAGGTTGTCCAACTGACGGGGAGCAGGCCTAAGCCAGCAGTTGGATATCCCTCGAGGGCTCCCATTCTGCAAAATCGTGCAGGCCAGGCTGAGCAGTCCCACCCCTTGTCTCCCCACCCCAAGTGCACGAATGTCATTCAGCCAGGCCTCTAGTATACTAGAGGGCAAAGTACGTGCACGGGGG